TATATATATATATATTCTGGGTGTGCTTATACTTTTATAAAATGTTGTTATATTTTTAAGTATAACTCTGGGTTAGAGTGTTTTTATCTCAATGTATTTATAGTTGTATATCTTTTATGATTTGATATACTAATTTCAATATAAACAATGCTCTGATACCAATCTCTCACACCCTTAAACGGAATTGGCGGAAACATTCGAGGGCATAGGACGTCATGTCAAGTATCACAACACATGCAATATAGTAAGAAAAGTACAACAACAATTTTGCATTAATAATGTATAAGTTTTTACACGAGTTCAAACATTAAGTATTCAACATCAAAAGTAAATAAAGAAAGAGACAAAGGATGCAGTTCGGTACTAGGCTGTCTTCGCAAAAGCTCCTAGAGTGTACCTCTCTACTAGATTCCTGAGAATACAAGTTATTTTGAAAGAGAGTATCAACATTTTAATGCTGGTGAGTTCATAAGTATTTAGGTATGGTTGTTTAGTTTTAACAAAATGATTGTGTTTACTCTAGAAAGTCCTATACTTCCTGCTTTACAAATGAAAGTAGTTTTACTCCATAAAACCATTTCTATTAAGTGTTATTGTGGTTATAACCTATTTAAACATAACTTTAACCTTTCATAAAATTATAGGGTGAACGATCCCCATTTAGTTTTAAAAGTAGTTTTAATTCTCCATAAAACTGTTCCTTTTGTTTTGTAGTTTTAAATCCCCATAAAACCGTTCCTTTTGTTTGTAGTTTTAAATCCCGATAAAACCGTTCATTTTGTTTGTGGAAAATGAATAATGCAGTAGTATTTATTAAGCTTGCACTACCGATGCTATCACGCTCCTGATATTAAGGTTATTAATTTGGGTTACCACTTGATGAATTTATAAACCATAAATCTACACTACTAGTGAAATGACAACCCTGTAATTAAGATTATTAATTAGGGTTAAATGTGATAAGGTTGTAACCATGTTGATTGACGGATGTAAACACGACGACCTTCTGGCATCGAAAATAGTGAGGTGACATTTTGTCACCCCTGGGCATGCCGGTTCGGACTGTAGCTAACAGTCGGGATGTGGGATGGTCTGTCCCATATAGATCTATACACACAATACTCACTCTCCCTCCAGGAGACTCTGGTTACAAAACGTGATACAACAATTGAATTGATGTATCATGAGATAGAAATTCACATTTTTGGTTTATTTGTTTTAAGTAAAGATTGAATGTTATCCTTTTCTTAATAAAGTGGTTTTAAACCTGGTGAACTTATCTAGTAAAATGGGTATTTCATTTGTGCCTTAAATTATAACTGCCATAATTTATATGTTTTATCTAATTAGCATGATAACTCATGAAAGTGTGCACTGAAGATTCGAGGACTAGCCGAGAACCGAGAATGAAGGTGTATCCGAGGACTAGCCGAGAACTCACAAATCTTAACTGAAGTCTTAAGCTTGCCACCGAGAACTCCAAATCTTTGACCGAAGAATCTCAAAAATTGCCAAAAACTTGAAATTTGTAGATTTTCAAAGCCAAACTCGATCAAAGTCTCTAAAATAGTGAAGAACACGAAGAACAATGGCAATAATTTCGTCAAAAAGAATTCAAAAACACCAAGAAAAACTCCAAGAAACAGTTAATATTTGGTCAATTCGATTGATACCAAACCTTAGCTCTGTTACCAATTGTAAAACCCGATCTTAAGTATCAATCGAAATCACTATAATTGGTGCGAAATCTCAATCAAGTAATTAATGCAAAACAATTATTATGAATTAAGAACATAGTTATCGAATCTTCAGTGCACACTATATTCAAGAATAGTCTAGTACACAAGATTCTTAACAGCTCTCGATTCTCTCTTTCTCTCTGAACACGATCATAACTCCTTAGAATGACCAACCAAAAATTGCACGGCTGAAATAACACTATATATACCTAGACCTAATTACAAAGGCCTAGCCCAAAAACCCAACATAAATCCCTTATGCCCACCGAAAGCACATGGTGATTTCGGTCCAAACACCACCGAGAACATGGCGTATTCGGTCCAAGACCAAGAACGCTAAAAGTCATTAAAAGTAAAGTATACACCATAAATTATGTCCTAACACTACTACCGCTTACATACTTTATTTGGGCTCTAGCATAATTTCATAGAAATTGGCTCACCAAAAATCTATTTCTCAATCCTCCACTGAAATAAAATACAAGGTTTTAACAAATGCAACAACAGAAGTTTCTTGGGTTCAAAACTTGCTCACTGATCTTGGTGTCAAACAGTCTGGACCACCTACACTTTTTTGTGATAACACAGGAGCTACTTATCTATGTGCCAATCTAGTTTATCATTCTTAGATGAAACATGTAGCCTTGGATTACCATTTTATATGAGAAAAAGTTATTGATGGTTCCTTGAATGTTCTTCACATAAACTCTACTGATAAGACGTGCTCACCAAACACCTCAATCACAATCTATTTCTTTGAGTACATTCAAAGAGTGGAGTCTCTGATGGATCCTCCATCTTGTGGGGATGTATTACGAATCAAGGCTAATAGAAATCCAAGATTTAATGAACTATCTAAATTGATATGTATAGATCCTATATTATTGTCTAATCAAATATAGTTTTAAATAATTACCTAATGTAGCTTTTACATAGACTCGTATCCATGTGTACAACTTGGCTATATGTAGCCTCTTTGTAATTTGTTTATATGTAATTAAATCAACACAATTTATAGAAATCTTTATACCCTTTTGGATTGCATTATGAATACCCCACCATCACTCTAATTGAGTGATTGCCTCCTGTCCACCTCCTATTCAACGCTCCCTACACCAAAGCCTCCGTCTGCCGCCAACAATTGCTTCCGTTTCACCTACATTGACCTCCGAAAACAGTCAATCTTTCCCACAATTATCAATTACAAGTTTGTGTCATTACTTGAATATTTATGTCGTGTGTACTATAGGTCATAATCGTGTGAATTACTCTAGTTCTTCAAGTAAAGGATAATTACTGGTAAATCCTCATGACAAATAGAAAAATTTTATTATCAAATTGGGATATAGTCCACATCGAATTTAAATGGGAGAATATGTGGTTTGATTTCAGAACTCAAAATGAATCTAGTTTTACGTACATATCTTCTTAGCATATAAATTTTGAACTTAAAAACGTGGTTTCTTGATAAATTTTGAATAGGCGTCAAACAGGTTAAACATTCCAGGATTAATAACATCACGAAGGATGAGGAGAAGACTCCATCATGGAGATGTCGGTTGAAAAAAAAACATGAGCATTTAATAGATGTAGATTTGGATGATCTAAATGAACCTTTACTAAGGAATAACGATGACAACAAGGCTTTACAATAAATTACAGTCATAATCACAGTTACAGTCATATGTGATTACATGATTTCATCTTCCCAATTTCCTTTTCATCACAATATAGAATATAATATTTATCATGGGTATCTAATCTTCGTGTTTTAGGTACAAAAGTATGAAGATATTTTGTATGATGAAAAAAGAAAAGCAAACCTCCACTGGGCATTTCTATTCTCTAATATAATTTGAGAATAGGCACAATGGTTAGGTATGACTTATCCCTCTTGGTTTATTTTTTTTGTAATGTTAAGTTTTAATTGCTGAGAAAATTCCATTTTGTTTCTTGTAAAAAGAGTTCTACTTGGATCCGGATCATTCATTGCACAGATTTTGACTTTGCCTTCAACAACTGGAAGTGGACCAACAAGGACGTTTCTTCCGCCATTACTTACTCCATTTCAGGTATGAACTTTGGCATAAGATAAAATACACAGCTCTAAATATGAAATATATTATATCATAAAACAAGGAAAATACTGACTTCATTTGTTACTTTTCTCTTTGGGTACAAGACTCAGAAGTCTGCAGAAAAGATTGAAAGTCGCTATTGCAGAAAAAAGTAACAATCACCTCCTTTGACAACCTGCAACTTTTCAATGGATCGAAAAACCTCACCACCAGTTTGCTTAGGCTGCACCCCCATGACTTTCTCCTCAATCCACCATGCTGTTTTTCGAGTATTTTCCAAGTATAAGATGATTTAGTTTACGAATATGGTCAAGGAAAATAAAAATATTAAAAACAAAGATTAGATTATATGCACTAACGTATAAATCAAATAGTTTTTCAGAATTAGTTCCGAAAAGTTATCACAGAAAAATGTTAACAGAAACGACATATAAGCTACTCTATGAAACCAAGCTTAAAACTATAACATGGGTTCTTCTTGTATGTATAGTAGTTTAATTTTCCTTTAAAATAATTATATATTTTTGGCTAAAAATGAATTGTTGTCATATCGTATCAATTTCAAAATTCAATTCAAAGCAAGATGAGAATAGAAAAAGGAAGAAAGTACCTATTATATATTTATATCATCCCTGAGTCTCTGATTAAATCATCCCTTAGGAGATGTGCGTGCATGTGTTATTCATAAATCCACATATATAGTCTTCCCACTGAAACGTTTGTATCATGTAATTAAAGCCGCTTGACTGAAGAAGCCCTCTTGACCCATAAATACGCAGACCTTTCAACAAAAAAAACATGCTATGCGGAAGATGACTTATGCTTGTACCTGTTGTATTCAACATTTCTAAGCAATCTAAATATCCAAGTTCGTCAGGCAATTTCTCAAGTTGAATACAATAGTAAAGATCTAGTCGTTTTAGACATTTCATCTTGCAGATGCTGTAGGGAATATCTCGTAATGACTTGCAAAAACTGAGGTTGAGATTCTCTAAACATTCTAATTGGCCAAGATCCTCGGGTAACTTTTCAAGAAACCAACAACATGTAAGTTTGAGAGATTGTAGACGCTTTCAACATACAAATGCTATGAGGAAGAACTTTAATCTCTGTAAATGAAAAATCTAGTTCCTCAAGATATTCTAGATGGTCAAGGTCCTTCGGGGCCTCTGGAATCCTGCCATTAATTCCTAAGCTTTCTTAAAAGTTGTAATCCACAAATGCTTCTTGAGAACGTATCAAGGTTTGTGCAGCCACAAAAACCTATAGAAAGAAGTTTCTCGAGGTTTCTAGTCAATAATGGTTGCTCTTCTTTATAATGACATGCAAACCGAAACTTTAGAAAATTATTGTCATGGTGAAATGGGCATAACACATTTATGGCATGCACACTCAGATGTAACTCAGGTAAAGAAACAACCTTAAGTGATTCAACCTCACTATATGAAGCATCACTCTCTATTTTATACTTAAAAGACCTAAAACTCAAACAACCAACTAAGTTAAAGTAAACAAGCTTTTCTAGACATCTACTGGGAATGTGAAATTCTCTCAAATCATAACACTTTCCAAGATCTAAATACTCGATATTCGGAGTAAGGCGGATGTCAAGGGTCCTCAACTTTGAATTATTAAGTTTGAGGGATCTGAGATTTAGACATCTATTTGGAATGCGGAGTTTTATCAAGTCCGAACAATTTGTAAGAGTCAACGTCTCGAGATTTGGAGTGAGCCCAAGATCAATGGTCCTCAACTTTGAATGACTGAGGTCAAGGAATCTGAGCTTGTTAAGAACCTATAATCAGGATAAACTAAGTCAACTTATGTATAGCATTTACTTTTAAATGAGTGACATAAAAGAATCAACCAATTAACCATAACTCTACCTTTCTTTCTCCCCCTTCCCAAAGTTGTATAATTCTGCTGTCACTAATCTCAAGTGGAACAAGATTAAATGCTTGAAATGTTTTGGGTAAAGACCTAAAAGGGTAATGATTCCAACACAAATACCGCAAAGCATTTGGAAATTTATTATATTTCCAACTCCAACGAGAACAATTGGTTTTATTTGCATCAATAAATGGCACATACACGTCAAGAAATCTAAGCTCCTCCATCTTTCTAAGACCTTTCATCACAATTTCCGGACTAATTTTCCCCATGTTGAACTTTATATATCTTGTTGCTTGAGTACCCTGTAATCCAAAAAGAACCATGAACCATGTGTGGCTGTTTATAAAAAATTGTTGGCACCAACTTAGAAATAAACATGATCCTTACCAAGTCATTAGTCAATATATCTTTAATTTCCTCATCATTCCACAAATGACTATGCTTGTTAGGCTTATCTGGGTGGGAATGACGAATAATATGCCTGCCTAGTTCTTCAATATGGTCATGCACGCCGAGATACTTGTCATGGTTAATGGTTATATGAGATATTGGCTCAAGAACTCTTGAACGAATTCCAACATGAAATCCACACCTTTCATTGATAGTTATGAGAGATTTTTGCTCAAGAACTCTTAAACCAATTCTTGCATTAAATCCACAACTTTCAAGCACTTTGATTGCAAGGGGTTTCGACCATCCTTTCATGATGCATGCAACATTTAGGAATATTTCCTTGTAATCATTTTCTAGACTGATATAGCTTGTTTCTAATTTTCCAAGAGTTTCCATTAATGGAATAGTTTTTAGTCTTTCTAGGACATCTATCCATTCAAGTTCACTTTTATCACAGAGGAACGAACCCAAAACTTTGATAGTTAAGGGAAGGCGAGCAGCATAGTGCACAACTCGTTGTGATAGCTCTTTGTACCATAGATTTGGAATCACTCTCCCAAATGCATACATATTGAAGAGGCAAATTGCTTCGTTATCCAAGAACAACCGAATGTTATATATATATATATATATATATATATATATATATATATATATATATATATATATATATATATATATATATATATATATATATAATAACCACAAATTACATATCACGAAATTCATGAAATCAGTGTACAAAAAAAATATTTTTATATATTAGCGTAGATGGCTAAATACAAATAAAATTAAAATAGAAGTATTGACTTTTAGGTAAATGTGCGATATAAACTAAAAAAAATATAAAAAACAACTTTGGAGGAATGAATATTCTTAAAAATACAATATGTGGGTTCGGCGGATTTTAAGATTTGGGGTTACTTTGATAGAACATTTTATATATATATATATATATATATATATATATATATATATATATATATATATATATATATATATATATATATATATATATATACGGAAATGATCAAATGAGAACACCTAAAAGGTTGAGAACGCGAGAACAACTATATTCATTTGTGATGTCATGTATTCATTTGTGGAGAAATGATAATTTTTTACGCACAATCAACATTAATATATTTTTTCTCTTCAATTGAAATTAAAGGCGTAAAAATTTATCATTTCTCTAAAATGAATATATGGAATCGCAAATGAATATACTTTGTTCTCGCGTTCTCAACCTTTTTGGTATTCTCATTTGATCCTACTCCTATATATATATATATATATATATATATATATATATATATATATATATATATATATATATATATATATATATATATATATATATATACTAACTTATAAAAGAAATCCTACTATTTCTATAAATAAATCCAATAAAATAATAATATTTTTTTAAGATGTTCAACTCTCTAAGCGTAAAATACAACTAATCATAAATAAAATAATATTAAATTTTAATCTGATTACCTTTGAAATCTTATCTCTTCCAAATATTTGACCCTATCTCTTTAATCCCCGGTTTGAGTTAATGCTTATTCCTAAAATCTTGGCAAATATCTATCCATTGGCACACCATTCTCTCTAATGTTTGTTGTTCCTAAAATTTAACCCCAACCTCAACCCACCTACGATCAAAAATTAGTAACATGAATCTCTCTGTTAATGGCCACCAAATTTAGTCATCCTCTTCACGATCATCGTCAAATTTAGCAATGAAAGGTGGGTTTTCAGCGCCCGGTGATTACATATACTTCACGTCCCAAGTCCCTTTCCACAAGATCCCAGTAAGTTTTTCTGGTCATAGATTTCGTCGATCTTTCACTTGATTATACATCTATTGACTTACCCAATTCGATACATCACTGGTTTAGTTGGTATCGATTGTTACTTTCATTATGTCTAAACCCTATTTACAGTTTCGATTCAGCATCAATCGTTCGATGTTTACTCTCAATGAACCTAAAATTATTGAAATTCACATTAAACTAGAGCTATACTTCAACTTTTGAGATTAAATTGGCTAATTTGTAGCTTCCGATTGGTGTATTACTTACAAGCATAAAGCATTAATCTTTATAGCAAGTTCTATAAACAAAAAAAATGTTGATATTAGATTTTACATCCAAATTGATATAAGAATAACATATATGAACATTAATTTTGACATATATTTTACAGATTTGCACAAAATAATGGAGATATTATTAATCCTGGAACTACTGGAACAACAGATGTTTACTACCAAAAAATCATGGCACTCTCCATGAAGGTAACAACAACTTTAACATTGTTAAAGGCAAAAACCAAGTTGAAGGATTCTTTTTCATAACAAAGTTTTCAGAAATCTTTTTTTTTTTTGTTTCTTTTTCAAGGTAATCAAGTGATTTTTGTTGATATTCCTCGTGTTTGGAACAATCAAGAATGGGTTCAAGCATTTGAGAAGTTTTTAGATGTTATTGATCTCCACCATGTAAGATTATCTAATTCCATTTTTGATGTTATTGTTATTTATTTATCTAATGAATCTTTTTTTAACAGACATCTTTATGGAACATCACTTGGTGGATTTTTAGCATTACTTTTTGCTCAACATAGGCCAAAAAGAGTAGTCTTTGATCCTTTCAAATGCATTTTTTGGATACAAAATATTTCTTAGCTGCAATGCCTTGGGCCTGTGTCTACGTATCATAAAAAAGGACACTTTCTATATACAATTATACACAAAAGTCTTCTTTTTGGACTGAATGAATTGTGAGTAAATGACTATTTTACCCTTATGTAACATTGTTAGTTAGACCCTTTCTTTCCTGTTGAAACAGTATGTCCTAATAGGAACCCCAAATGGTCCACATGAACCATTTATTGTTGATTCTATGGACTTTGTTGTTGCACAGGTGAGTTTTATAAACACACATACTGAATTATTTCCTAATAATTTGAAAAAGAAAATCAATAGTTTAAAGTAATTATGTCGTAATAAATATGTTAAAAATATAAAACCTGCAGGTTGAGACCCTGGGGGATTTGGCTTCCAGATTGACTTTAATAAGTGATGTCGCATTAGTGGGACCTCTTCTTCTTTCAGATTCTCTAATCACTATAATGGATGTAAGCTTCCATAACTCATAATCATATTAAAAACAGCAACCTAAACCTATCCCACCTAAGGAAATGTTAGATTTACACTTGTTGACTTAACACTTTGCTGTTGGTATTAATGAAATCGGAAACCAATTTTTACTTTAGAGTTATATTACTAATAACCATGAATTATGTTTCATGTCATTGGTAGAGAGCTGAAGGAATGTTTATCCATATCTGTAAAACGTATGTTCTTGTGAATCATTTATTTAATTTTTTTATTAATTTGGTTAATATATAATATTGTTTTGCAGGTAGAAGTGAAGATGCTACTGATATCATCATAGACTCATAGTACTACTTCTAACATAGCTTTCTATTGGAAGGGTATGGATCTTGCTATGTTGGCGAAAGGGGAGCTTAAGAAAGGGGTGTTGATTCAGGTTTCTTGGGATATTTATCTATTTTAGGCTGATGGGTATGGGCTGGAAAACGGCATTGAGGAGGCTAAGTTGGCCAGCCTCAACTCCATACTCCATGGAGACTATTGGATCACTGCCCCCTCTAATGTCAGGCCGAATTACATTGGAATGATGACGCAAGCAAGGCAAGGCATATCTAAAGTTTGTCTTTTATTAAAACGTGTTGTTATTTATTATCTTTTTTATTATTTTTCCAATAATACCTTTTGTTAGATACATATTATTTGATTCATTACTTTATTTAGTTATTACTTGTTAGTTTTGTTGTTTTTTTCTTCATATTTGTATTTCTCCAATTATTATTTTATGAAAGTCAATATCGTGCATGGAATAATGTATTAAAATATAGGCTTAGATATAAAAAGAAAAATATAAAATATTACATTATGAATAAAATTTTTGTGATGGATGCTAGAGAAAAGAAAGGTATAAGCAAGTCACTTTGTATGGATGTGTCCTGATTTCTAAAATGAAGGACTATAAACGTACACTACACACCAAAATATTTATTTTCTTTTGTATTGCGAGGGTTACATTGATTTGTTGCCGTAAAACCGATCGATAACAATATGCATATGTTTTGTGTTACTTGAAATCTAACATGTTTCTATATAGAACTTATTGCCGAATGAGAAACTACTTTTCGTCGCCGTATTGCGCGGGTCTACGGCTAGTATATATATATATATATATATATATATATATATATATATATATATATATATATATATATATATATACTATCTTATAAAAGAAATCTCACTATTTGTAAAAATAGATTGAATATAATAATATTATTTTTTTAAGATGTTCAAATCATTAAGCTAATAGTACATGTAGTCATCAATAAAATAATATTAAATTTTAACCTGTATTTTGAATCCTTATATTTCTCAACAAATTCTATCTCATTACCTGAATTTCAGATAATTCAAAATTTGAAACAATCTGAAAATACATGTTGATTCAAATATCCCTCCTGCAGATGGCTCTTTCTTAACATGTTTTTATTTTAATCCTTACTTGTAATTCATTTCACCATTTTTAACTTTTTGTATTTTTATCTTATAAATATATTTGGTGAAAGCTTTATTATATCAGGTTTGTTCCTAAAAAGGTTTTTACTATGTTTCATTAATGTATTGGCTTTGCAGGTTCAAAGAACACAACCAAGAGGGCCAGTTAGAGCATTGTATTATCTTTAGTTTGTATATTTTGGCATCTTACTTTTGCAATAAAGAACGGTTAAACACAAGATTTGACATGATTAAGGTAGTTTGTATATTTTTCATCTTGTTTAGTCTAAAAATGAAACTTTTTTCATCATTGGTCTTTATAATATCAAGTTTCATCACATGGACTTCATGATTACGGTGATTATTGTCCTTATTATAAGGTTCTAGATAGATTTTGTTCAATATTTTAAGGTTTCGAGAACCTAAATCAATATGAATCCTTGAATTACATACCATCGTTCAAACTGTTTTAATTTGTGACCAAACTTGGTTTAAAATCACAATAAACAAGTTGACACCTGAGTATTTTGGTCTTCTCAAAGGCCTATTTATCGATTTTTGAATCACAACACCTGATATTCTAAAGGTTTATTTTTATAAACTATTATTTATATATTTTAGCATTTTACTTAGTAGGATATTAAATTAATAAAGGAATTAAAGAAAACGAGAAAAAAAAAAAAAGATGACGATAAACAGTACAAGTGGTTTAGATATGTATAAATGGAAGTAATAACCATTTACGGGTGTTTGGCAAAAAAAGTTTATTGCTTGTTAGTTTATTAGTTTATAAGTTAATAAGTAAGTGTAGGGTAACTTATGAAAAAATGATGTATTAGAGTTTCCCCACTAAAATAAGATATTTTAATCCAAACATTTTTTTACTTTATAGTGATGTGGAACCTAACATATATATATATATATATATATATATATATATATATATATATATATATAT